ATTAGAACCAATGTGACCTTCTATCAGATAGACAGTGAAGGTACGTCTTCCATCAGCACCAATGTGACCTTCTATCAGATAGACAGTGAAGGTACGTCTTCCATCAGCACCATTGTGATCTTCTATCAGATAGACAGTGAAGGTACATCTTCCATCAGCACCATTGTGACCTTCTATCAGATAGTGGAAGACGTACCTTCACTGTTACTGTCTATCTGATAGAAGGTCACATTGGTGCTGATGGAAGACGTACCTTCACTGTTGATCTGATAGAAGGTCACATTGGTGCTGATGGAAGACGTACCTTCACTGTTGATCTGATAGAAGGTCACATTGGTTCTAATGGAAGACGTACCTTCAATGTTGATCTGATAGAAGGTCACATTGGTTCTAAGGAATTACTGTAGAACATGTAAAAACTTCAAGACAATAAAACCATCACAGGCCTGTGTTATTTATCTGTTTATATTTTCGTGATTTGTTTATTCTTCCGCTTATTTGTCTGTCCATCTAATGTTTTATTTACTCATTCAGTTATCTATCATTATATTTACCTGATTCTAATTTACGTTGTTTGTAGTAACTCACTAGTTCGGGATTTAAAGTCTCCACTGACGATCTTTGTTATTTTTTTGTCATTTTTATGTTTCATTAGGAACAACTATCTACTCACAATTGTTGCAAGTAGCCAATGGTAATTTTAAATATGATGCATTGTAGGACTTGATCATCCATAGCTTTTTCTAACTTGTTGAGTCGAACTTTGATTTCACGTTCTGAAACTGGATATCATGGCTGATATACGGTGTGTCATCGCCACTGACTCTGATATAAGGTGTATCTTCACTATTAATTCTGATGGAGGGTTTATCTTCGCTATTAATTCTGATGGAGGGTTTATCTTCACTAGTTATTTGGATGAAAGGTGTATCTTCACCACTGACTCTGATATAAGGTGTATCTTCACCACTGACTCTGATATAAGGTGTAACTTCACCACTGTCTGTGATATAAGGTGTAACTTCACCACTGACTCTGATATAAGGTGTAACTTCACCACTGTCTGTGATATAAGGTGTAACTTCACCACTGTCTGTGATATAAGGTGTAACTTCACCACTGTCTGTGATATAAGGTGTAACTTCACCACTGTCTGTGATATAAGGCGTATCTTCACCACTGACTCTGATATAAGGTGTAACTTCACCACTGTCTGTGATATAAAGTGTAACTTCACCACTGTCTGTGATATAAGGTGTAACTTCACCACTGTCTGTCATATAAGGTGTAACTTCAATATCGATCTGATAGAAGGTCACATTGGTTCTAATGGAAGACGTACCTTCACTGTCTATCTGATAGAAGGTCACATGGTGCTGATGGAAGACGTACCTTCACTGTTGATCTGATAGAAGGTCACAATGGTGCTGATGGAAGACGTACCTTCACTGTCTATCTGATAGAAGGTCACAATGGTGCTGATGGAAGACGTACCTTCTTGTTTGCTGAATCCGAAAATGATATCCATTTTTCTCTATCACGTACAGATTTTTCACAAAACGTCATAACGCAATACAGTACATAAAATAAATACCACAACACGTAATTTTGAGACTAAAAGACGTAATTTCACACACACACACACAAAATCAGGATGAATGATGAGGATGCATATTCGTTTGGCATCAGTGTTCTTCCCTTTTCTTCAGTTTGTTTATATTTTTGTTAACAAACATAATAATACAAAATTTTCATTGTGGTAAACGAAATGATAATTGGATCTAAGTAGGAGTTT